AGAAAAGGAACCTAGCCTGTGTGCCCTCTCAATCGTGCTGCCTGTGAAGGTACTTAAAACTGACTTTATTTCAGAGGTTAGTTTGGCTTCTGTCTCCTGCCATGTTTCTTTGCAATCGGGAAAACCATAGAAGAGAAGATTGTTTCGCCGTGAGCGATCTTCCAAGTCATCAAGTCGTGTCTGGAGTGAAAAATTGCGTGCTTCGAGGTTGTTGACCGAAGCATGCACTTCAGATAGCTCTTCATTAACTTTCTCGAGGACTTCCGATTTTTGCTCGAGGTCGTCGAGGCGCTTTTGTACGGCGATAATCTTTGCCTCTATGTTCTTCTGGCCACATTTAATTGACTTTATATCAGCTGCTTATTCGTTCTGAACCTTTGCACTTTGTAATGATCTTGTATGAATATCCTTGATCAATTTAAAAAGAACAGACATTTGCTCAGTTGGGTTTTCAGGCAGAGATTCGATATCTAATAGATTTTCTGAGCGCGTAGTTGGTCCTGGAATTGCTTCAATGTCACCAGAGCGTAATAAAAGCAATGCCACTGAAAAACAGTCTAATACAATTTCACATTACATTTGTGGACACGGGAACACTAGCAGAAAGGCGTCATCTGATTTCCTAGCAAATAGCGGTAATGGTTTACACACTTGCATGTTGAACAGTAGATTAGGAAAACTTGATGTGATGCTGTTCCCGTGTCCACTGAAGAAAGCTCAGTGAAAGCAGCAGCTTAAGTTCTTTTCTGGGCGTGATGTCAGGGTCGATGCGGTTGGCAGTCCGTATTCCACAGCCGAAGAAAGCTTTGCCGGCAAGTGCACATGCCCGGAGTCGATGCCGGACGAAAGCACTATCGGCACCATCGGCGCAGCAGGGGCGATTATCGGGTTGGCAAAGGCAACCGCTGACCATGACAGCAGGAGTAATGGTAATTCCTGCATGTTGAACAGTAGATTAGGAAAACTTGATGTGATGCTGTTCCCGTGTCCACTGAAGGAAGCTCGGTGAAAGCAGCAGCTTAAGTTCTTTTCTGGGCGTGATGTCAGGGTCGATGCGGTTGGCAGTCCGTATTCCACAGCCGAAGAAAGCTTTGCCGGCAAGTGCACATGCCCTGAGTCGATGCCGGACGAAAGCACTATCGTCACCATCGGCGCAGCAGGGGCGGTTATCGGGCTGGCAAAGGCAACCTGCTGACCATGACAGCAGGAGTAATGGTAATTCCTGCATGTTGAACAGTAGATTAGGAAAACTTATGTGATGCTGTTCCCGTGTCCACTCAATTACTACATTCTTGTTTTCAAAAGTTAGCTAAGATAAAACTTCACCGAGACGGCGCTAGAAATCACAAAGGGACGACGATGGTTAGCGATAAATGCAACCCAGAATTAGGTTCCTTTCATTATTAAGGAATGAGTGGTCAACCTCTACCCACACTCACTCGCAATGATTCACATTTAATTTAAGGTCAGATCTGCGCATGTAAGCGGCATCTTGGGAAAGAAAATTGCGGCACCCCCATGATTATCATTTTGGCGATGGCAATATTCAGCTTGATAAGACGGGAAACCGGACATGCAGTTGTCTGCGCCACAAAGCCAAGTCTCTAATATGCAAATAAACGTGAAGGCATGCTGAACTGAGGAAATGAAGTTAGTAATTGTATCTATATTCTTACGAAGGCTACGTGCATTGAAGTGAATGAGGGAGCGACTCATTTTGGAAAGTTGACGGCCTCACAGATTCCGGGAGACGCATTATGAATTTTAGAATAGCGTTTGCTCCGCCTAGGGAAAAGTTTAGGGACTTTCACCCCGATTGCAAACTCAAATGCACAGAAGCTACAGACAACACCTCGCGGGCCGTGATCGGCGCACGCTGTTTCGGATTTTCTGGGGGCGGGTCGCGAATGGGGACTCGCGTTACGACGCATGTGCAGTGGCAGCGACCGCACAGCAAGGGCTCGCGGTGCGAGACCCCCCTTTTCCTGCGGTGCTTGTTATGTGTCTTCGAGTAGCATCTCCCTTTAATGTCCAAATTTATTATTGCTACTCTAGAGATCCCCCCCACCCCCCGCTCCTTGCGTTGTTTCACGCTTGTTCAAGATGGGTGGTTTATTTTTAACATTCGGCGGCAGGTTATCTTATGCACTTTCCAGGCGAGAGGGATGGGCCGACTCATTTGTTCTCTGCGAGCGCTCTTGCGCTTTTACTCGCTCGCTTACTGCTTTTATCCGATCGTGAAAGTTACTATGCGCGATGGCATGTTATCAATCTGGACGTGTTAAGGAACATGGCGGCGACGGCGAAAACCCGCTGAGAGTGTCTTTATAATTGCTATCACAATAATAACGCAGTTTTTTTTTTACTGTAAAGTAAGTGTTTTGAGTTAGCTCTGCCTTTAGTCCCGATTTCGTTTCATTAGCACGTTTATTTTCCGAAACTCTTACCGAACCTGCATATAACGAAATCTCTTTTATAACGAATTTTTCTAGAATTTTATCAATTTCGTTATATCCAGGTTTAACTGTATATGCCATTAGCCACAGAAGTAAATTGGTGAACCCAAAAGCATGCAAAACTTAACCTCCTAGAGAACATATATTTGTGCTGCCTATTGTAGTCACACAATAGGCCAAATGCTGGCTTCACACACAATATCAAGCGCACAACCAATTACCACTTATTTTGCATCATTGCCCAAATATGACCCACCTTCATAGTGGAGCTTTTTTTTTCCCGCTCACGGCTTGTGGTGGTACGGCTCTGTTCCAAGTTGCACAACTTTTGCCAAACAGCCACAGCTTTTTTCTCGAATTTGTCTTTCTGAACATAGGCAGAATCAGCATTGTCACTACTGAAAGCTACTTCTTTAACACTTTGTTCAATTTCTGTAAAGAAAAAATGCAGCTGCGATAAGTATTGGCACGCCAATAGCAAGAAACTTTGACAGAAAGTCCCAAGTTTTCTCAGCAAAACTAAAGTAAATAACAACGTGTATTGACACGTTCTTCCAGTGTCACAGGCAAGTGTGGTGACAGTATCAATCCAGAATGTTCACACACACACTACACATTCTGAAAACTACTGCACTAGTGCATACCCATGTGCACTATTTCAACGTCACTGAAAAGGAGGTTGATCTGTTTTTCATCAAGACTCCGAAAAACATATATTTGGTTTTATTCTAAACATTACACCTTTAAAACTTGGTGCATGTTAGCTCAAAGACCCTGCTTATACTTTGGTACGTCCTTGGTTAAAGAAATAATGTGTTTACTTCTTGTTCTTTTCTGCAATCAACAGTCGATAGCAGTAGCATATATGAGACAGGAGCAGTGACCTAATCAGATTAATTGCAAAGGCTTATTTGCATTGGATTAATTGGATTGGATTAATTGCATTGAATCAGAATAATTGCAAAGGCTGATTGTTAATGCTGCACTAAGATTATGCTAATCTCAAGGTGATAATAAAAGTGTCCTTTTTTTTTTGTTTTGTACTGGCCATGCAGCTTCTACATGGCCTTATAGTTAGCCTCTACAATCACTGCAACAAAATTTACCTGCGTTGCAGGCCTGCTGATTACTGCCCACAGCAGTGACGTTACTGTGGTGAACTGTCATCATGTGGGAAATGCTACTTGGTGCTAATTATCTTTTAAAATTTATCAGTGATGGGAACAAGCAAACAAAAAAATTGGCCCCGTATCTGCATGTAATCTGCAAATGTCGTCGAAAGACGATAGTGATAGTCTTACATGTGGAGAGAGTGAACAAAACATTTATTTGATGTTCTGCGCAAGAAAATCGGTGAATGGTATTCCGGAGGCACTGCGTTAGAGTGCCTCGAGCGTGCAGTGAAGGAGAACGAGTGTATCAAGTCACGTTACACGTGAGACATCAGCGCCATCTGGCTGCTTTTTTGGAAAACAAAGCGCGTGGCCCTGAGACGGGCGTACGCGCCCGTCTCAGAGGTGTTAAGGTGTAGAACACAAGACGATGGGTAGGTGCCACCACCGTGTCCTCTTAGCAAAGCATTGGAAACATTCGCTTCATCGAGCAAGCGTTGCATGGTCAGCACAGCATAATAAGCACTATGTTCGCGGTAACGGTGGACAAACAGACAAATGTACAGACAGACAGACCAAAGTTTTTGCGTCGAAGGTCCCCAAGAAAGACTATCGTCTTTAAAAACTCGCATTTATTAATGTTAATATATAGTGTACTTCTTCTTGCTAGAAGGTAATAAGTGCTGCCTCATGGGTTGTGATCCACAGCCTTGGAAATTTTCACTTAACTCTGCCAAATAAATTTTTGATGAGACTGATGAAGAAGGCAAGGCATGGATATTGGCACCAGTAATAAACACTTTATTCTTTATTTACAAGAAAACACTTTTTTTGACATTTATTTATCAAGTTGCATAATTTTATTGAGGCAGTATCATTAAAAGCTGTTTTGAAATTTGAGCTTAACTATTGAAAGCGGTCATGTAGTCAAGAGCTTGACGAAAGTTCGTCTGGTCGGTCATTGAATGAAATGAAACATAATCACTGACCAAGTCTGATGATGGTCTGACATTTCGAAACTGCATACGAATTCCTTGTTCACTGTGGTCACATTGCTGCAGCCTTGGTTGTTTGGAGGTCAGGAGAACTTGATATCGTCAAGCTTCTCAGCGAGATGCAGGGCAGACAGTAAGTTGACAAATAGCCTTACAAGCTCTGGAGCATAAGCAATGCCTCGTTGAGAAGCAGCAGTAGATATTATTTGCTTTGGATGTTAACCATGTTCACTTAAAGTTGAATTTCATGAGACAAGTTTGGCCTAACTATTCCCCAGTTTTCTGGCTCTAAGAATTGAAACCTAAGATTAGGCTGTTTTTAAGGCAGCATTTCTTTGATTAGCTTAAGTTTCCTTCAAGCTTTCTCAGCATTCTTGTTAAACTTGAATTTAAGATTTATTTTTGCATCTTCTTGTCCTTCTCTCACTATTATGCAGGTACACATTAAAAGGTCACAACGCTCCCGTAGATCAAATTCGGCTTGATGAATCAGGCTTCAAGTCACTTACTTACAACTCGGATGGAATCGATAGAAGTGTTCGTGTCTGGGACGTCATGAAAGGCAAGTGTTTCTGACATCACTAGTCGTGTTTTACCACTGCATGCAGGCATGTATCTCAATAAACTTCGATCTAATTCAGTTACAGAACACTTTATTACAGAAAAAATTGAGAAAAAGTGTCTGGTGTTATAAGTGTATTCTGCTGCATCAAACTGAATTTCTACTCATAACATTTTGCAAGTGTTGTACTGCTTTTACTAGTGCCAACCAGTCGCATTGCCTTGCAACTTGTAAAGTTGACAACAACTGAACTCAATTTTGTGAAGCTTGGGCCGGGAGCCGCATTTCCAGGGTGTCTACCAACCTGCAAAACCTGGAAAAGTCAGGGAATTTGAACCCTTGTGGAAAAGTCATGGAAAAGTCAGGGAATTTCTGAAAAATCTGGCCTGGTCATGAAAACTGACTGTAGCCTGTGCGGTCATCACAAAAGTAAGCATTACTACAGATCAAAGTTTGAAAAGCCACTCCTTCGACTGAAAATACAATGAACAGCTGAAAGATGTGTGAAAAAAAAAGCAGTGCACAACTGTAGCTTCTTAGTGAAGACGCGAAAGGATACACTTACAGTAAAGAAGACAGTGGAAATTTTGCTTGGCAACTTGTCCTTCACGTTGTCTAAAGCATTTTCAAGCTTTCATATTCGTACATACACTATGTTGATGTCTGTTGCTTCTACATATCACACAGCATATCTGACTTTCCAACCACAGCATTATTCACATCGTTAAATTTGTATATGTTTGTCTTGACCATGATATGGCTCGGCTTGAAGGCTTTCTGGTTCGGCTAGGACTGTGATTAGCAGAGTCTCGCCAGGCTATGTCATGCCTTTTATCATCATCATCATCATCATCACTACTACTACTACTATTGGTGATACAATGGCAAACGTCCTCAGCTACACTTATTGCTGGTAGCTCACGTTTCAAGGATAGAGTTTTGTTACTTCATCTAAATTTCTCATTTCAGTTTCTTCAGATGGTATTATTAAATATGTGATTACTTTTTAGCCTTATATATATATAGAAGAGTACACAAACGAAGGTAACCCGCCGACGTCTGTGATAAATCTATGGAATCGAGGGAGCTGTTGCGCCCTGACAGGTTCCTTCTTGCCAGCGCATGTTCAAACGTCATCGCTTTAAATGCTCCCCTAGCTTTTATTGCAGACATCTTGAGGACTTTGCGAAGTGTCAGAGCCCAGAGAAATCAAACATCAACATGCATGTGCTCGTCGTGGAAAAGAAAGAATGAAAGAAAATTATGTAGTAAGGCTCTGTTCTTGTGATGTTGTTAGTCATTGTTCAATGTAAGGTGCACAGAACATGCGAGTAGTAGTGTTTTTGTTTTTGTTTTCCTGAAAAGTATATGCTAGAAATGTGCAATTTAGGTGGGGATACACATCAATAGTAAATACAACAATCCATGTGGCATCAGATCTAATCCAATCCACATCATAAATAGTCAAGTCAGTAAATACAGGTCAATCTAATGCAATTCACATCCTAATCCGCCTGGGCTGTAATCACTATAGTGAACTAGAATATATTCCAGTGTGGAACCGACCGGGCGCCGTTGTCCTCTTTTTACACAGATGCCACGAGATGGTGCCACTTCTACGTTTTCTAGCAGCTTTGGCTGCATTGTAGGACTATCATGGGTTCCTTTAAACTTTTAGCTGCAGTTAACTTTAACTCATGTACTTGCTTTCTGGTTCTTCCAAACATTAAACAACCAACTTGCTTACTCTCTCACTCGAAAGTTTCATTGTGGCCAGATATACATGTTTTTTCATATATACCGCACGTGCTCAGAACATTCTGAGCACTTGTGGTACATTTATTTACTTATTTTATAGGAGCACCTGATTTTTCCTATCACTCGAGGGGCGTGGTGGCGCAATAGTAGACTACGGGATGCTGGCCCTGAACGGCCGCATGTATTAGGAAGCTCGCAGATTCGTGTTTTTATGCAAGTTAATTTGCAGTCGTGCTTCTTGACGGGTTCACGGATGCAGGGAGGATGAAAACTAACACGAACATAGTGGCGCGCTGTTTTCACCAGGGTCTGTCAGGCCAAGCTACCGGTCGGATATATGCGTTCGCGATTTATTTCCTTTTTTTTAAATCTATTAAAACCGCCTTATTTGCATTCCTCAGTATATAATACTCCTGTGTACCACTCTTCATATTTGACAAAAAAAAAGACAGATTGTCTTTTTTTTTTTCATTTCTTATTAGTTAAAAAAAAAAAAAAAAAACTCGACGGTCCTTTCATAGATTCACCTGAGACTACTTGTTTGTTTGTAGCCTAGAATACATGGCACATACCCACTCTGGGGGATTGGCCAAGAAAGCATATAGTATCCTATAGACAGTAACTGCACTATTGCTTACAAATAAAGAAAAGAAAAGATGTTGAAGGAAGACATTATCAAAAAAAAAAAAGATTCAGAGAGTGAGAAAAAAAATAAAATAATCGCTAATATAATAACTATATGTTGATTTTGGGAGCCGACCAGACAGCTGAGTGTGCCAAACCCGATTAATTTGTGTGTATGTCTCATATTTAGTTATATTTTAGAAATTACTTCTCGACTCCTTTTTTTTCGAGTATTTGTTAAAGTGGGCCTTATGTTGAAATACGTTGAGTGTCTGAAATAAAATCACACACTGCATCAAATAAATCTCTGTGGCGATGTTTCAAAATGGAGGCACTAAAATTTATAACTGTTTCTGTGGTTAAACTTAAACCTAGCTTGGCAAACAGAATAGCTAGAAGTATTTTCCTGACTACTGCGTTGTTACGACATGAGACAAAATAATGTTCAATAGTTTCTGATTTTTCGCAGAACAGACAATGAGGGGAAAGTGTCCCACCAGCTCTGTGTAAATAAAAATTTAATAGGGAAACATGGCACCGGCATCTGGAGATAATAATTTCAAGTTTTTTCGACGGGCTCTACTGGAAATTTGAGACGACTGAAAGGCAAAAAACTATCCTAGTTTTCTTCCGATTCAATCCACTAAATGTTTCCTACTTCCCTACAGGTTATTCCTGCGCCTAACATGGTTTTCTTACTGCTTCTAGGATAGGAGACAAAGCTAGCTTTCTACCCATCAGCTGGTTATGCACTGCCCTCATGATCGGCCCATTTTAACCAGGCGAAGATGTTATATGATGCCGTCAAGTTATGTGACCTTCCGATAAGTCAAAAACATTTATGATATGTGACATCATATGATGATGTTTTCACGTAATGATGATTTCTGGCATCACTCGTGTTCACGCTGCCGACTCGAGAAGACCCCAGTCGCCGCCAGCGATCAATTTTCGCTTTTGATGAGACATTTAAAGCTATTGCCTTAAGGCACTGTAAGGCTGTAGCTCCGTGAAATTGCAGCTTCCGCTGGTGTCCGGGGCAGCGTGCTTGCAGTAATCAGGCAGAACAATTGGTCTCCTAATAAATCTTGATACTACACTCTATTATGTAGCTGTCATTTATAACCCGAATGAACTTGGCAACATTTAACGTTAGAACGTTATCTAGTTAGGGAAGTCTAGCTGAACTATTCGAGGAGCTAGAGGGTGTTAAATGGGATATAATAGGGCTCAGTGAGGTTAGGAGGACAGATGAGGCCTATACGGTGCTACAGAATGGGCACGTCCTTTGCTATCGGGGCTTGGCAGACAGAAGAGAACTGGGAGTGGGGTTCCTAATTCACAGAAACATAGCTGGCAACATAGAGGAATACTATAGCATTAATGAAAGGGTGGTAGGTATCGTAATTAAACTGAATAAAAAATACAAGATTAAGGTGGTACAGGCTTACGCGCCTACATCCAGCCATGATGACGCTTCACTTGAAAGCTTCTATGAAGACGTGGAATCGGCAATGAGTAAGGTAAAAACACAGTATACTATAGTGATGGGCGACTTTAATACAAAGGTAGGGAAGAAGCAGGCTGGAGACCAGGCAGTAGGAGATTATGGCATTGGTACTAGAAAAGCCAGAGGAGAACTACTAGTAGAATTCACAGAACGCAATAATTTACGGACTTTGAATACCTTCTACCGAAAACGAGGAAACCGCAAGTGAACATGGAGGAGCCCTAATGGCGAAAATAAGAACGAAATAGACTTTATAATGACTGCACACCCAGGAATCGTGCAGGATATGGAAGTGGTTGGCAAGGTACGATGCAGTGACCATAAAATGGTACGGTCTCGAATTCGCCTAGACTTGAAGAAGGAACGACAGAAACCGATATGCAAGAAGCCAATCAATGAGCTAGCACTGAGAGGGAAAGTACAGGAATTCAGAGTGTCGCTTCAGAACAGGTACTCGTCTTTTAGTAAGGAAACCAACCTTAGCGTAGATACAATGAATGATAATCTGACGAGTATCATTACGGAGTGTGCAGTGGAAGTTGGAGGCAGGGTAGTTAGACAGGACACTGGCAAGCTTTCCCAGGAAACGAAGAATCTAATTAAGAAGCGTCAAATCATGAAAGTCTCAAGTACAACAGACAAAATAGAACTGGCAGAACTTTCGAAGTTGATTAATAGGCGTAAGGTATGCGATGTAAGAAGGTATATGGAGAGAATTGAACATGCTCTGAAAAACGGAGGAAGCGTCAAAGCAGTGAAGAGGAAACTTGGGATAGGCAAAAATCGGATGTATGCGCTAAGGGACAAACAAGGCAAAATAACTACCAATATGGATAGAATATTTAAAATAGCGAAGGAGTTTTACAGAGATCTGTACAGTAGCCGAGGCAGCCACGACCCTAATACTATAATAACTAGCAGTAACCCAGATGACACCCCACCAGTAATGATAGAAGTCAGAAAAGCTTTGGAGAGCATGCAAAGAGGCAAAGCTGCTGGTGAGGATCAGGTAACATCAGATCTACTGAAAGATAGAGGACAGATTGGGTTAGAAAAACTATCCACCCTGTTTACGAGGTGTTTCCTGATGGGAAGAGTACCAGAGTCT